CTTAACTTCCTTGTGAATGACATCCAAAATTTTGCTAACACCAATAACATGCGCCTTAATCCTACTAAATGTAAGTGCATGACTGTTGACTTCCTTCAGTATAATAGTTACAAGGCTCCCCCGGTCGTATGGGGGGGCGCTATTATAGAAGAGGTCTCGTCGTTCAAGCTCTTAGGCGTCAACTTGTCCAATGACCTTTCCTGGGGGACGCATGTTGACCACCTGCTGAAGAAGGCTAACAGACGGTTGTTTGCTTTAAGGCAGCTCAGGAGGAGTTCTGTCCCAGCGGAAGATATCGTCTACATCTATTGCTGCCTAATACGTTCCATACTTGAGTACGCCTCTACTGCATTTGCTAATTTACCGTCCGACTTATCTAAGGCCTTAGAGTCAGTGCAGAGGCGTGCTCTCGCCATTATTTGGCCAGGTTATTCGTGCTCAGATACCCTAATACTAGCCGGTATTGAAACCCTTGATGCACGCCGTAGTGCTGCCTGTGAATCCTTTATAAGTTGTATTCATAATGACAACCCCCTTTATACTGCAATGTATGCCGACGTTCGTAAACCTTCAGACCGCTACAATTTAAGATCAAATCGTACTCACTATCACTCAAAAAAGTCCACCAATCGTTTTAAGAACTTTGTGACGGTCAAGTACTTGCCAGTTTAATCATACTCGTTTTTGTTATAAGAAACATCATTTTAGTATTAATATCATTTTTAAGTACATGCTGTTTTTACTTGTATGTAGTTTAATGCATTTTGTACAGTTTTCCCCCTTTTTTCTCCTATAATTCTTGTTAACATTATAAAATTATAAACCTGTAATTCAGCATTCTCTGCAAGAGGTTTGAATAAACGTTATTTTCATTTTCATTTTCGTCCGGGTTCGAGCCCCGGCCGGGACATTGTGTTGTATTCTTGGGCAAGACACTTTACTCTCACAGTGCCTCTCTTCACCCAGGTGTATAAATGGGTACCGGCAAATTTAATGCTGGGGGTAACCCTGCAGTGGACTGGCATCCCATCCAGGGGGGAATAGAAATACTCCTAGTCGCTTCATGCTACAGAAACCGGAGTTAAGCACCGGCCTAATAGGCCACTAGGCTCGTAAACAGACTTTATCTTTTACCTATTGCATGTTAAAGTCAGTAAAGAAAGGAACCATTAAACCCTCACGGTTCAACATCAAAGGTGACATAAACGAGTATTATTTAAACAATGAGTCAAACTTACACACCTTAATCGATGGCTTACGCGGTCACGGGTTGACCTCTTAGTACATGTTCAAAAAACGAGAGAAAAAAAAACAAAACAAAAAACCGCCATTTTATGCCCTAATTGAGCACTTCTTCTACACAAACTCGCTCATAAATACTATTTAATAACATTGCTTTCGGGAGAGGAACATTTAATCAAATTTTACTGGAGAGATTATTCTTAATTTTTTTTCTTAGTGTTCGTTCAAAACATGTGGAGAACAATACAAACAGGCAGTTGGGATTCACTCAAATGTAACCACGACCGCTAAGAGGAGACCGCTAAATAGATTCAAAAGAACCCAATGCAATAAGAAAATCTTTGTTTTATTCGTATTTTGTACAATGGGCTTCAATAAGTATTTCTTACCAAATGTATAAATGCCTTACTACAGCTATTTTAGCATGCATGGATACAAACGTTTTTGCGAATGTATTTTCAAATACAAACAAAACGAACGGATTTATCCTGTGGGCAAACCCGCATCATTAGCGTTTTAGGAGGCGCGTTTCTTTGCCCGCGGGAAATTGGAGACGAGTCGAGGAGAGATTTGCCAGGGGTCTGGCACTAATAATGATAATCAGTGCTACCACCCCTTTCCAGACCTCTCGCCTTATAATTTCCCGCGGACGAAGATATGCTGGTGCCGAAGTACAAATAATGAGGGCCTACTCGTGGGCTAGAACAGATTTTCTTCAGTTGCGTTCTGTAATCCCAAGTCTACTTCTACGTTTAAAATATTTAGGAAAAATCAAAATTATAATGGCGTACTCCTATGAATACAAATGCTTCACTTAGTTCTTAAACAAGGCTCATTATAAAGACAAATCCTGTATGCTATCAAAGATGAAAACAGAGCCTGATTCTTAGCTAACCAAATTAAAATGTGGCAGTTGGTAGACATTAAAGTATACATCAAATCAGTTGTATCGAGATTTCACGAGACAAAAAAATCTTCTTAGGAATTAACAAAAAAATTTCATTTTAAAGACGCGGAAGGCGACTGAAAGAAGATTGGAACTATGACCAGTGCGCTTTATCATTAACCAAACAACTGAAATGTCCTTGTTGTTGCCTTAAAACCCAAACGGTATCGACAAGAGGTCTGAAGTAAGCGCTTGGGAAAAGAACTTTCAACATCCGGTTGAAGGGAGGTGAAGGAAAATTAGGGCACTCTTTACCGAAAGCAGTTCTTTGTCCGCCGGCGGACAAACAATGCCAAAAATACAACTGACCGCTACAGGCATTATTCAACAAAATTCTGGCCAAGGTAACAAACCCCTTACCCCGTTTTCATCCATCCCC